CTGTTGGATGAGGGGTTGGGATGGGGGGGTCCAGGAGGGTGAACCACCAGCAGAGCAGGGAGTGGCATCTGGGCAGGATTTGGGATTAAATACCCAGGGGATCAAACCCCTGGGATTTTAAAGCATTCCCAGGGTTATCCCTCTGCTCCTGCTCCTTGCTTCCCTTTCCTGCTGCTCCTGAATTTTCCAGGCACAGAGCCTGGAGGTCTCAGCCTGATCCAGGTGAAGGAGAGCTCAGCTGGTGGCTCCAGGAATCCAGGGAAAATCCCCTTGGATTTTCCTATAAGAACAAGCAACACTTGTAGGGAATATTATCAATGATACGGGTGTTTAATTAATGTTTTAATTGCCAAGGTAGAACTGATGCACTTTGGAGTGACAACCCAACAGCTCATTAAATATGGGATCATGTGGTTAGACAGGGAATAACTAAATCCTTTGTTTTTGAAAGCTGACCGAGATTTGTGGGAATATTTATAAGCACTGGAATGTAATTGTTTATTTGACAGTTTTATTGCATTAAAAGAGAAAACTAATATAAATCACTGATCCTGATCTGGTTTTTACCCTTTGAGAAGAATATGGCTGGGGGAATGAATCACTTTGGGGATAATTGCTGACAATTGCAGAGTTTATTTACCTTGGGGGCAGTGGGGAGGAATCCAGCTCTGCCTGCAGGACATGGCTTAAGAGCCTGGAAAACCCACGGGAATCACTGCACGGCTTTTCCAGGTCATTTCACTTCTGAACTGAGGGGTTCTCTTCCTCCTCAGCTGAAGGGAATTGTAGGAAAACCGCATTAAAAATCCAACCCTGGGCCATGGAATGCCACGGTCCCACTGGATCCTCTGTCTGTGCACGGGGAGTGGGTGAGGGTTGATCCTGAAGCAGCCAAATTCCTTCCTCAGCTGGACAGAGGCCTCGAAAAATCGATTTAACGTGTGAAATTCTCCTCACGGAAGAAACGAAAACGCCGTGGCAAATTGCGATGAGTCAATAAACAGGGATATTTATTTGCTGGGACGTGTTTTTGTTGTGTGGGTGGCCAACAAATCCCAGCAAAGAGCTGAACTGCAGCACCAAACACGGGGAATATCCCTCAGCCCTGGGGGTTTGGACAGGCTGGGATCGCTGGGAATGTTCAGCTGGAGCAGAGAAGGCTCCAGGGAGACCTGGACACCGAGGGTGGTCCCAGCGGAAAACAGAAGGCAGAGAGTTGGGAATCCTTTGGACTTTTTGCCTCACGGGGATAAACTCACCTGATGTGTTTAATCTGCACCAAACCCGTGAGTCTGTCGTTTAAAAACATTGAGTTCAACCCCCTGGAAGCCTTTGCTGAGGGTTCAACCCCGAGTTACTTCATCCTCCACCCCCATTTCCACATTTCCTCCTCGGGAAGTTTGGGCTTTCGCAAACTTGTTCCACCCGGTTTCTCGCACGTCACAACAGCACACTTGAACCTTCATTTCCCCCTGTGAATTGTTTCAGGTGGGGAGTGAACTGATGGACTGATTTAATTTCGGAATGAACTGATTTACTGATTTAATTCAGGAATTAACTGATGTACTGATTTAATTCAGGAGTGAACTGATTTACTGGTTTAATTCAGGGATGAACTGATTTACTGGTTTCATTCAGGAATTCATTGACTGACTGACTTAATTCGGGAATTCGCTGATTGATTTAATTCGGGAATGAATGGATTGATTTTATTCGGGAATTCTCTCAGTGACTGATTCACCTCCAGGCGTGGCCATAGGGGAGCCCTGGCACTGCGAATTACTGGATTACACCCCTTTTCCTGAGAACTAAGGAAATAAAAAGGGAGATAAGACAGATCCAAGGCCGGACGCAGCCCCAGGCCTGGCGGGGCCGGGCCTCGAACCGGCGGCCTTTGCGATCCTCCCACCGTGTCCAGCAGGGGGCGCCCTCGCCGGGGGGCCGCGCCCCTCGGCGCCGCCATGGCAACGCGGTGCGCGATGACGTCGCCGCGGCCGTGCGCGCTGATTGGCTGGATTTGAACGCGGCGGGCGCGCGGCCGCCGCTCGGACCCGGCGCGGCCCCGATCGCGACCCCCGGGGCGCTGTCGCGACAGCGGCGGGGACAGCGCGACATGAAGGCGGCGTAAGGCCCTCCACAGCCCCCTCCCGGACTTTCCCCTTCCCCTCTCAGGTCCTTCCCCACCCCCGGTTCTCTCCCTCCCTCCCTCCCGGTTCTCCCCTCGTCCCGCTTTCCCCGCACCCAGTTCCCCTCTATCCCCCGGTTTTCTCCTCCTTCCCGGTTCTCTCCCCGCTCACCGCCCCCTCCCTGTCCCGCAGCAGGACCAAGACCCCTCGGCGGCCGAAGAAACCCACGAACCCGGCTCTGAAGGACCCGGTGGGGGTGAGTGCGGGGCGGTGGGTGCGGGTTGGGGGGCTCGTCCCGGGGGGCTCGTCCCGGCCCCGCTGACCGCCCCGGTCCCCCCCACTGCCAGGTTTACTGCCGGGTGCGGCCGCTGAGCCGCGCGGACCACGAGTGCTGCATCGAGGTGATCAACGAGAGCACGGTGCAGATCCACCCGCCCGAGGGGTACCGCGTGTTCCGCAACGGCGAGTACCGAGAGGTAACCGCGGGGGGGTGGGGTGGGGTGGGGGGCCGCATTCCCGCCGGGAATGTGCCCGCACAAACCGCCCGGCCTCGGACACTCCCAGGGATGGGGCAGCAACAGCTTCCCTGTTGGCAGGAATGTTAGGTGGGATGCGGAATAGTCTGGGGAGTTCTCATGAGGAGGGTATAAAGTGATCTATTAAGGCTTAGGTGAAGTGGGAAAAGATTAATTAAAAGTTTGATAAGCTTTTGCTCAAAAACATAACGTTGAGATATTTGCCTGAGAAAGTGTTTTGATCGAAAAAATGACCAGATTTGTCAATAAAAATAAAGCAGCTTGAGAACTGAGGCTGGCCTGGGAAGAGCTTACACTGATGAGATGCTGGAGCAGCTGGACTTTGGCAATTCCCCTGCTCAGTGCTCGTGTGGGTCGTGGTGGGGGCTCAGGGGACACTGGAGCTTTAAACTGCAGGTTCTCTGGCCAGTGAGATCCTTCTGGCCTGCAGCTCTGGGAAATGAGGCTGTTGCTGCTCTGCCCATTTGTTCTCAGAGCAGTTACACTGGAGCAGCCCGTGTTCAAACACTGGTTTAGTCCTAAAGTTGAGTTTTAATTGTTCTGCTCGGCTGTGCGAGGTGTTCTAAGGTGTAAGGCGTGGATGTTTGGACTGCTGGCCATGGAAGTGAAGGCTCAGGATGTGTCTCCTCTCTTGGCAGACACAATATTCCTTTAAGGAAGTGTTTGGCACCCTCGTGGTTCAGAAGGAGGTCTTCGATGTGGTGGCCAAACCTCTGGTGGAGGATCTGATCCGGGGCAAAAATGGTGAGCAACTGCTGGCCTGTGCCACCCTCATGGCCATGATCTCATGGCTCCCGAGGTTCCTTGTCTTCTCAGGGTAAAAAGGGACACCTTCCAGGTTGCTCCAAGCCCCGTCCAGCCTGGCCTTGGACACTTCCAGGGATCCAGGGGCAGCCACAGCTTCCCTGGGCACCCTGTGCCAGGGCCTGCCCACCCTCACACTGACACCACACTGCCTGGTGTGTGTCAGACTCCTCAGCAATGCCCCATTTTTGGCTTCCAAGTGCCCTGTCCCAGAGAAGACAGTGGATAATTCCAGTTGTGCTGATCACTGAGAGCTGCAAACATTTTGGTGGGCTGGAATCCTTGACTGTTCAAAAGCAGCCATTGTTGTTTTTTTTCCCCCCCAAATCCATTTGATTCCACACCTTTCCCAGGTCTCCTCTTCACCTACGGAGTGACAGGCAGTGGGAAGACCCACACCATGACGGGATCTCCTGGGGATGGAGGGCTCCTCCCACGCTGCCTGGACATGATCTTCAACAGCATCGGGCCCTTCCAGGCCAAGAGATTCGTGAGTGGCTTCACTCCCCACTGCTGCTGTGACAGCCCCAAAGCACCAGAGAAGGGCTTTGCTCAAAATGAGTCTGTGACTGAGAAACCAACCAAAACCAGCCCACCCCCTTGAGGTTTGAGGAGCCAGGGCCAAGGAGGCGGCTTGGATGGACATCTCGTGAAGATGTGTGGTCTGGCTGTCCTGGAACTGCTCCTCATTCCTTAATTAACTCTTGAAAAACAATTAGAATAAAAAGAAGAAGAGGAAACTTTCTGAGTTCTGGAGAGAGATTTAGCCACGAGATCCAAAAGCCTCAGGAAAGCTTATCTAAAATCACGGAATCGTTGAGGTTGGCAAAGACCTCCAGGGTCCTGAGTGCAGCCTTTGACTGAACACCACCCTTGTCAACTAGACCAGAGCACAGACCAGTTAGGATAGATGTGAGGCTTTCCTTGTGGTCAAACTTCTGTGGGTTTTTAGTATCTAAATACACTTCAACAGTCCTGGAAGCCTCTTCCCTAGGAGCTTTTATTGAATGCTGTTATTTTGGAAATACCTGTTTTCTATCAGATCCACTTGGCAGACTGAGTGCTAGTGAGGGGCATGGAATTAATTCAAACTAGTTAGTTGCCAGCTTGATCAAATAATTAGTTTTGTTGGTCAACACCTTAAATAATTATTTTTTTTTACTGTCCAATCTTCCTGCCAGGTGTTTAAGCTGGATGACAAGAACGGCGTGGATGTTCAGACTGAGGTTGATGCTCTGTTAGAGCGGCAGAGAAGAGATGCCCTGCCTGTCCCAAAAACTCCATCTGGGAAGTAAGTGACTGTTGGACCACTCAGAGGGAATTTATTTACCATAAATGACATTCTGTTAGTCTGGTTTTAACTTGTCTGGGTGTTTTTGTCCTTCCCTTGGAGAGATGAAAGAAAAATCTCATGGAATCCTGGGTTGGTTTGGGTTGGGAGGGGCCTTAAAGATCATCTCGTTCCAACCCCTGCCACGGGCAGGGCTATTCCTATTAATTAAAAAAATATTAATGGAAAGTGAGTGCATTTCATGGGGTTGGAACAATTACACAATTATTTAGATTAGAAGCCTTAGAATCAGGCAAGAGAAGTTTATTTTGGTGAGTGCAGTGCTGTGGCTTTGAGCAGGAACACTGTGAAGTTCAACCTGGACTCACACAATATCCTGAGCTGGAAGGGGACCCCAGGGATCATCGCAGTCCAGCTGCTGGCCCTGCCCAGGCCAGCCCAAATCCCAGTGTTTTGGTGGATATGGAGCATTCCCATGCTCCAGCCCCTGCCTGGGCTGATTCCTGGGCTCCCACAGTCACCCCCTGTCTCCGCAGGCGCCACCTGGATCCCGAGTTTGCCGACATGATCAACGTCCAGGACCACTGCAAGGTGGAGGACGTGGATGAGGACAATGTCTACAGTGTCTTTGTGTCCTACATCGAGATCTACAACAACTACATCTACGACCTCCTGGAGGAGGCTCCCTTCGAGCCCATCAAACCCAAGTGAGTGTGGGGATCCTGCTCTTCCTGCTCCAGCCAGGCTTTTGCAGGAGCTCCACCGGGTCTTTGTGGCTGTAGGCTTGGGGAGTCTGGCTCAAGCCACAAGAATCCTTAAAAAAATCCCGTGGAAAGGTGATGGCAAAGGAGTCCAGACAGGAATATTTCGGTGTGCCAAGTACTGGTGCTTGCTGTGACTCGCTGCTCCTTCCTCATCACAGTGGGGGATTGATTAGCAAATATTTAATTAGGTGGGCAGTGGTGTTGTGTCCCTCTGAGATCCCAAATCCAGTCCTGCTGTTCTGAGCAGGTGACTGCAGCTGGGAGCAACCATTCCACAGCTGACCTTTTTTTCCATGGAAACAGAGATTGGGTGCAAAATGCTGTTTCCTTGCTCCATAGTTAATCCACATTTGTATATTATTCCACCTGATGGCAGAAATTCCCATAAACCCAGCAGTGAATTGTCTCCCAAATGAAATGATGCATGTTTCTGCAAAGGTGTGTGGACTTGGCTGATGTCTAAAATTGGTAAATCTTGACACCAGCAGGGGAAAAAAAAAAAATCTGCAAATTGGTCTTTGAATACGTTTATTTAAATTCTAAATCCATTCAAGGAGCCCATCAGCACATGTGTTAATTAAAGAGCTGGCTGATTTACAAAGACCAGCTAGAGCAAAGCAGGCTGTGTCTCTCCAACATCAAGAGCTGTCTCCAGGGCACTGGTCTGAAGAGGGTTTGAATGTCTGTGAAGGCTTTGGAAACAATGACATTAGTGCTGCGCTTCTGCCCGAAAACCAGCCTAGGAAGACTCTTGGCTTGTTTCTGTTTGGGGAAGCTGCAGTGTGTTATGTGTGGAGAGATTTTTAGGCACAAACCGCAATGACTTAATGTTTTTACCCCTGTTTTCTCGGTAGGTGGAACAGTTGCAACACCCCTGTGCGAAATGGAGACTTTATGTATGTGCACAGCCTATTATTGCCACTATCAAAGTGCCACTTTCCTCCAGTAGAAGCAGAAAATAGACTGATTCCCTGCCTCTTCTTGCTTTACTAGCGAACACTGAGTGCTGTCAAAGCCCCCCTGCTTCTGTGTGCATGTAGAAAAGCAGTAGCTGCCACCAAAGCAATGATTCCCAGCAGAAATGCAATTAAACGTAGCTGCTCAATTAAAGCAGTAGCTGAAGTGTCACTAATCTTGGCTGGGTGTGTGTCCGTGTCCTTGTGTTTCCTCTTCCATCCTCTGTGCAGATAATCCACATAGTCACTCTGAATTTTGCACTTGAACATGATTTGCATGACAATGATGTACAGAAAACTATTCTAATGGGGTTTTTTTTGTCTGTTTGTTTTATTTCCTCGTTGTCCCAAAGACCTCCCCAGTCCAAAATGCTCCGGGAGGACCAGAACCACAACATGTACGTCACGGGCTGCACAGAGGTGGAGGTGAAGTCCACGGAGGAAGCTTTTGAAGTGTTTTGGAGAGGTAAATCTTCCAGAACCCGACGCAGGTCACAGAATCCTGGAATGGTTTGGGTTGGAAGGAGCTTAAACGTTGTCCAGTTCCAACTGGACACCTGGACCAGGTTGCTCCAAGTCCCATCCAACCTGGCCTTGGGCGCTTTCCAGGGATGTGGAGTCCACAACCTCCCACCTAGAGCAGGTTGCTCCAAGCCCTGCCCACCCTGGCTTTGAGCACTTGCAGGGATGTGGAGTCCACGAGCTCCCTGGGCACCTGTTCCTCACCCCCCTTCCAGTACAGAATTCCTTCCCAGTATCCCGTGCAGCCCTTCCCTCCTCCCCCCTGAGGCCGCTCCTTCCCGCTCCGGTGCTGGAGGCAGAGTCGGCTTTGCCAGGTGGGAATTCCTTTAACCAAAGTCCTGCCGTGTGGGGTGTGCCGTGCCCCGCAGGTCAGAAGAAGAGGCGCATCGCCAACACGCAGCTGAACCGCGAGTCCAGCCGCTCCCACAGCGTCTTCATCATCAAACTGGCCCAGGCCCCGCTGGACGCGGACGGGGACAACGTCCTGCAGGTGAGCCCCGAGCAGCTGAGCCCAGCAGAGCCCTGCGTGGGGCTGTTAGAAAAGGTGCTGAGCCTTGGAAAACCCTTCCCGTGTCTTAAATTCCCAGGGGACAGAATTCATCTCCTTTTTGTACTGAAAATAAGGCCTTAAGATCACAGACTCTGCTGGCTGTGTGGGGAAGGACCCACAAGGATCGTCGAGTCCATCTCCTGGCCCTGCATGTGAAGGGTGGAGCTGCTGATTCCTTTGGTTTTCACCCCTTTTCCTTTGCTAGGAATGTAAAATCTGGAGGGTTTGGATGAGGACAAGTTCCTCCTGTGGGCCAGGACACAAGGGAGCTGCTAAACTTCCCAGGAAAAGCTGGTGGTGCCCAGGCCTTGGGCTGTAAAACCACCCTCTGACCTTATTTAAGGGCTCAACGTGTATTATTTTGAAGTGTTCATGCTGCTTTGGGGGGTGGGATGTCCCCCCCACGCCTTTTGAAGGAACATAGGGGTGATTATCCTTTGTTTCCTGTGCCAGGAGAAGGAACAGATCACTCTGAGCCAGCTGTCCCTGGTGGATCTGGCTGGAAGTGAGAGAACCAACAGGACAAAAGCCGAGGGGAACAGGCTGCGAGAAGCAGGTGGGAAGCACCTTTAGGCACCCTGCTGATTGCTGTGCTAATTATGCTCCCATTAGTCTTGTCTCCCGGTAGAGACATCCCGGGAAGAACTGAAGTGCTGTGTTGTGATGATCAATTACCTGATTTGATGACCTGAAATCCTGGGGTTTGGAAACCACAAGTTTCCAGCAGCACTTGTTCTGCCCCTTCAGTTAATTGGAGCAGTTATCTGTAACAAACAGAACCCAGGGCAGGCAATTCATCCTCCAAGAAACTGCTACATAGTTTGGGAACGTGATCCAAGTGGCTGCTTACGGAGTTTTTGCTCTGCCTTTGGGTTTTTTCAGGTAACATCAACCAGTCACTGATGACGTTGAGGACCTGCATCGAAGTTCTGCGGGAAAACCAGTTGTACGGGACAAACAAGGTGTGGAGCCCTCAGCCCGTCATCCTGTCCTTTGATGGAGACCTGAAGTGATGAAAACTTGCTAAAGCCTCCCTGTGCTTTATTTTCAGATGGTTCCCTACAGAGATTCCAAACTGACTCATCTCTTCAAGAACTATTTTGACGGAGAGGGGAAGGTCCGGATGATCGTGTGTGTCAACCCCAAAGCTGAGGACTACGAGGAGAGCCTGGTAACCCCCCTGAACAGCTTATTGCAGTCCCTCCTGCTCCTTTCTTCGCATTCTCCACTCAGTTCTTGTGCTTAAATAGATAAGAAGAATTACTATTTTTTTTGTTTCAGCACTTAAGGTAATCAGTTATAGTTTTGTAGGGTAAAATCGTATTTTTCCTCTTAAAATTACAACTGCTACTTGCCTGTGAAGCAGGGATGGTTTCACTTATTTAGAGAATTATAAAGAGCCACGTTTAGGTGTTAAACCCCTGCTATGACAGCACTAACAGGAATCTGAGCTGTCTGCACAAGGGTTCGTGTCTCCTTGGGGCTTGAGCTCTGTGACAAGTTGCTGGGAAGGCTTCTGGGTGCTCCCCATCAGAATCCCCAACGGGAACTCCTCGAGCTTGGAGCTGGACAATGTCTCCTCTCACGTTTTACTGCCCCAAGAGCCCTTTCAGCGCCGGAGTGACGTGTTCTGGTGGCTCTCCTGTCCCTGCAGCAGGTGATGCGCTTTGCAGAGATGACCCAGGAGGTGGAGGTGGCCAGGCCCGTGGACAGACCCCTGTGTGGCCTCACCCCCGGCCGGCGCTTCCGCAACCAGGCCTTCCGAGAGGAGCTGGCCAGGAAGCTGGAGCTCAGGGGGGGCCCGCTTGGGGGGGGTGAGTACTGAGTGTGGGGGGCAGCCTGGGAGAAATGGGGGTCACCTGCACAGGAGAAGGATCCAGGGACACCCTTCCAGGGAATGGGAATGACATAAAGGGCTGATGACCCATCCCTGGAAATGTCCAAGGCCGGGTTGGATGGGGCTTGGAGCAACCTGGGCTGGTGGAAGGTGTCCCTGCCCATGGCGGGGGGTGGGACTGGATCATCTTTGAGATCCTTTCTCTTTGAGAACCATCCCATAATTCTCTGGTTACAGCACAGCTAAAAGCTGTTTTAAAACAAATTCTTTGGGCCTTGAAAGTGCAAAAGGAGCTTCAGTGACCTGTTGGTTGGGAGCCCTCTGTGCTGTGGGAGCTGCTCCTTCCTTACTGCCTGTGGTACAAACACAGTCACTGTGCAAGCCTGAAGGAATCCTCTGTTATTGGGGGTGACTCCATGGTCCCATTATTGCAGCTCCTGGAAGGAAATTGTGCTGAGGACGATGCTTTTGGTGTTTCTACATGTTTGTAGGGTCAGCTTTAGAAATCCAGAGTTGCCTGGAGGTTTTGTGAAGCAATGAATTGAGAATGACACATTTAATCTTCGCTCAGCACTGTCAGCTCTTCTGAAAACCTACAGCTCTCTTCAGTTATTCCCAGTTCTGCCTGCTCCATGATCCTGTGGAGTGAATGCTCGGGGGGGGTGTGTTATCCACTGGAATTCTGCTGTCCTGTAACTTGCTGACAGACTTTCTTGCCTCTCAACCTTGCAGAAACAGAAGAGCCATCTGTGGCAGAAATGCTTCTGCAGAACTTCCCCCCGCTGCCCTCGTGTGAGCTCCTGGACATCAACGACGACCAAACCCTCCCCAAGCTCATCGAGGCCCTGGAGCAGCGCCACAAAATGAGGCAGATGTTGTCAGAGGAGTTTGCCAAAAATGGTAAGAATTCCAACATCAGGACGGAGCTTTGATTTTTTGGGGCCCTTATTGCTCCTCGAGGCTCCCTTCTGTACCCCCAGGAAATAATGATCTTGTCTGGGTGGATCATTTCACCCCTTTTTTGAGGTCATTAAAGAGCTGGTGGCTTTGAGTTGGGAGGAGAAAAGCAGAACTGCTTTGGGTGTTGTGGAGATCAGGGGAGAAGGTGAAACATCTCCATTCTCTTCCAGTGCTTGCCTTTAAAACAATGCTGCAGGAGTTTGACTCCAGTGTCTTATCCAAGGAACACTATATCCAAGGAAAGCTGTCTGAGAAGGAGAAAACAATCGCAGGGCAGAGAACGGAGCTGGAACGCCTGGAGAAGAAGATTAAAACCTTGGAATACAAGGTCAGTTTGGGCATTTTCAAGCACAGACCACATTTTTTTATGCACAGCTCGGCAGAAGTTGCTGGATATTGGAAACAAGATAAAAAAGGATTTTGTGGGGAACTTCACTGAATATTTTTTGGCTTTTTTAGCATGTTAAGATGGGCAATGTATAATTTGAAATGTGTATTTACATTGTCATATAACTGGCAGTTTGGGGCTCAGATGGTTGTGTTACTAAGAAATGTATCCAAATCCTTGCTGTCTTCCTGCAGATTGAGATTTTGGAGAAAACTGCCACAATTTATGAGGAGGACAAGAGGAATCTCCAGCAGGAACTGGAAAGCAAGAGCCAGAAGCTGCAGCGTCAGGCATCGGACAAGAGGAGGCTGGAGGCCAGGCTGCAGGGAATGGTGGCAGAGACCACCATGAAATGGGAGAAGGAGTGTGTAAGTGCTCTGCTGTGTCCTTTCCACTTCCATGGAGGTGGGATGTGCACACTTCAATAGCTGGAAACTGTTCCTTTGGGCTTGGGCCACCCTTGGGGAGTGATTCTGCTCCCAGGGAACAGGGACAGGAGGAGAGGGAACGGCCTCCAACTGTGCCAGGGGAGGGGGAGGTTGGACATCAGCAGGAATTTCTCCATGGAAAGGGCTGGCAGGGGCTGCCCAGGGAGGTTGGTGGAGTTCCCACCCCTGGAGGTGTCCAAGGAAGGCCTGGACTGGTGGGGATCAGTGACAGGTTGGACTCGATGACCTTGGAGGTCTTTTCCAACCCCAATAATTCCGTGTTTTCCTGCGAAGTACTTGATGCTTTCCCTGCCTGGTCCTTGCAGGAGCGTCGTGTGGCAGCGAAGCAGCTGGAGATGCAGAACAAGCTGTGGGTGAAGGATGAAAAGCTGAAGCAGCTGAAGGCCATTGTCACTGAGCCCAAGGAGAAGCCAGAGAGGCCCTCGAGGGAGAGGGACCGAGAGAAGGCTGTGCAGAGATCCCTGTCACCTCCCCCAGTGCCTGTAAGTTGCCTCCTAACACTAACTGACACAGGGAAAAGCATATTTTAAGGATGAAGTGCAGGTTAGAAAGTAGTTCCCAGGCCCAGAATCTGAGTAGCTGCAACTGCCTTTGAATTCTTTGTGTCCTGTGTTTACCTGTGCTCCCACCTCCTGCTGCTGCTCCAGTGAGACAACACCTGAATCTTCGCTGTCACTGCAGCACTGCCCTCACCCAGCTGAGTTCTCTCTCTGCACATTGCCAGCATTCCCTGTTCACTGCTCTAGGAGTCGTGTGGTGTGTGTTCACGTGTTCACTAACTCCTCTCCCCTTCTCTGCAGGGCTCTAGTCCCTTTGCTCAGGGGGGGCACAGCCAGCGCCTCGCCAGCCCCCCGCAGGGGCCCAGACGGTCTAACTCCTGTAGCAGCATTTCTGTGGCCTCCTGTGTCCTGGAGTGGGAGCAGAAAACCCCTTCTCACAAGCAGAGCACTTCTTATGCCAGGACTAAGCAAGAGACAGAGCCAAGTAGAGGCTGTAACAGCTCCCACAGAAGGAGAGGCATGTGCTGGACTGGAGTCCTTGAGGTGCCCAGGCCCAGAGAGGAGCTAGAGATAGAAGAGGATCACTGCTGCAGGGTTAGTGCTGCTCCCTCCACAGCTCAGCCTAGCGGGGCTTAGTCTGGCTTAGAGCTCTGCTGCCTTGAGCACCCCTGATGTAGAGTAGAGCTTTCCCCTGACTGTTCCTCCCAGGCTGGTGCTGCTCCCAGACAGCCTGGCTGCTCTCTCTGACCTCTTGGTGTTCAGATCCTGCTCAGACCTCGAGTCTGTGTTAGTCTGGCCTGGCCAGGCTCCTCCTCGAGCTCTGAGTGTCCCTGTGCTTTCCCTCGTGCCTGTCTCCTCCAATCCTTCCTCCTGCACTTGCCAAGGCCTGTTTGGGCAGCTTAAGGTGGTCTGGAAATGGTGCTTGGATAAACATCCCACCTGCGACTCAGCTGGGACTCTCTCACAAGGCTCTTCCCTCATTTCCATGTCTGCACTGAAAATGGGGGCTCTGATTACACTGATTTCCACCAAACTGCTGCCTATAAATGATTATCAGTGGTGGCACCACTGTCACAGTGGCTCAGGTAAATCTGAGAGGGTTGTACAAGTTTGTCATGGCATCATTCATTTTTGAGAGTGTTCCCAAACTTCTCCCAGAGCATTCCAATTCTTTATTTATTTGTATTTGTTTAAATGGAAGATTTTTGCCGAAGGGCACATTTCCCTGTATATGTTTAAATTTAAGAAGTGCTTTTAGACCTGTAAGAGGTTTATCTGTGCAGGGCACAGCCAAAGAAAGTGTAGTGGTTGCTCATCAGCAGGTGGGATTTGCATCCATGGCTTTGGGTTGTGCAAGGATTGGGAGGCCTCCAAAATTACTGTGTAACTGGAACAGGCTCTGCAAATCCTCTTTCAAAAGCCCATTCCAAGACTTTGTTCTGATTTTCCCGAGCACCTGACAATAATTCTCATGCTCATGAGATGCAGTAGAGGAGCTCCAGTCATTTCCCATGGATTTCCAATGGCTGAGTTCAGAGCAGTAGCACAGGGAATGCTTCCTGTGCTCTGTGGACCCAGAAGTGCTGGGAATCCATCCTTCAGAGGGGCTGGGAATCTGGATTGAGGATGGATTTGCTTGCTTTGCTACCTCCCAATTACATTTTGGATCACGAATGGATCCATGGAGACACAGATTCCTCTTTTCTGGTTGGTTAAGATATCCATAAATCTTAGACTGTCCCGAGTTGGATGGGATCCAACTCCAGGCCCTGCACAGGATCCCAGCAATCCCACCCTGTGCCTGGGAGTGTTGTCCAAACGCTCCTGGAGCTCTGGCAGGTTTGAGGCTGTGACCACTGCCCTGGGGAGCTGTCCCAGTGTGGACAGAGCAGGACAAGCCCTCCTTGGACCGGCTGGTGATGGAAATCTGGGAGGAGATCACCACACACAGATTTCCTCCTCGAGGAAACTTCACTGAGTGTGGAATCCAACAGTGCTAAAACACCCCAAGAAATAGGAACTGGCACAGAATATTCCATTCTACCCTCCTGCCAGGCTCCTGGAGCCTGCCAGGGTCCAACCTGAGGGCACTTTGGGAGCAGAGCTGCGGGTCCCCTGGGTGATTTCCCTTCTCCTGCCTGTCCCCAGAACGCGCCCCCCGTGCGGCTCCGGCACCGCCGCTCGCGCTCGGCCGGGGAGCGCTGGGTGGACCACAAGCCCCCCTCCAACGTGCCCACGGACACGGTGCTGCAGCCCCACGTGCCCCACGCCATCACCGTGGCCACGGCCAGCGAGAAGGCCCTGGCCAAGTGCGACAAGTACATGCTGACACACCAGGAGCTGGCCTCCGACGGAGAGATCGAAACCAAACTCATCAAGGTGAGGCGGCTCCTCCCCGGAAAACTCGGCCCAAAACCTCTTCCTGGCAGTTTGCTTGGAAAAGGGAATGTTGGACTCGACCCACTAGGAGTTGGTTTGCTCTGGGGGTCCTGCAGGGGACAAATAATGGGAGGAGCATAACTGTGCCCACGTTTCCTTGCACTGAGGTTTTTGGGGGAGTCTTGCCCTGCTGAGCTGACAGTTCATTGTCTCTGCTCCGGGTTCCAGGGGGATGTTTTCAAAACCAGGGGTGGTGGCCAAGCTGTGCAGTTCACTGACATCGAGACCCTGAAGCAGGAATCTCCCACTGGGTGAGTTGGGCCTTTCATTTTGGGCTCTGGGGGTGTGGAACTCCAGGAGTGCTCATGGAACCACTTCTGGCCCCAGTGATCCAAGAGGAAGTTGTAGCCTCCAGCTTGAAATCATACAAATGTAACTTGGGAGGCTCTGCATGCTGAAAGGGCTTTTAGGGCTGGTTTGCTGCTGAGGGAAAGGTTTATTTTGGAAGCATGGAATGGGCAGATCCTCGTGCACAGGAGGGCCGAGTCACAGGGGCTTTGTGCTCTTCCCACACGTTCCTGTCCCAGGCGGAAGCGACGCTCGTCCCCTTCCCATCCTGACCCCCTGGGAGAGGCTGCAGACTCGGAGTGGACTGATGTGGAAACCAGGGTAAGATAACAGGGAAAAGGGGAACACTGGTGGTCATGGGATCTGGGAGGGGTTGGGTTGGAAGGCACCCTAAATCTCATCCTGTTCCCCCTGGGATGGTGTCCATGAGCAGGGACACCTTCTACTAGCCCAGGTTGCTCCAACCCCCATCCGACCTGGCCTGGAACATTCCAGGGATGGGGAGTCCAAAACCTCTCTGGGCAATGATCTGGATGAGAATTTGGGATAATGCTGAGCTGGGGGGTGGTGGGAGCAGCAGAGCCTGATCTGTGTGTGTTCCCAGTGTTCCGTGGCAGTGGAGATGAGGGCGGGATCAGCACTTGGACCTGGATATCAGCACCACGCTCAGCCCAAGTGAGTGCTCCTGGGGGGCTCATTCCCTCTCCTGATAACTCCTAAAATTAGGGAGCTTCTCCTTCTCCCTGACCTCGCTGCCCTTCCCACTTCAGGCTTGGATTCCCGACTGGAATAGGGTTAGGGATGGCAGGGAGAACTCCCTGTGTGATTGCTGAGGCCCCCACTAAGGAGCCACGGGCTCCAATCATATTGGAGGAAACTTCCCTCTTTTCCAGTGGAACAGCCCTGGAGAATTCAGCCTGTGCTGGGGCGTGGTGGCATCAGTGGCAGTCACAGCTGTGTCTGCAGGTTCACCAAATCTCCAGCACAAATCCAAATAATCCCTCAGTTCCCAAGGCTGGGGACAACACGTGAGTGCCCTGCCCAGCTCAGGGCCACGCCCTCTCTCCTGGGGGTTGGGGTGGAGCTTGTAGCTGTTTTAACTTATAAATAATTGAAATAAGATTTCGGTTTAAGTTCCCCAAAAAAGTAAAATTCAGGTGTTTCTGGGGTTAAATGTTGCACCTCGTAGCACAGGAGGGATGTGAGGCTCAAAGGTGCTGAAAACAGGGAAACTGGGTGGGTGCTGCTCCTAAAGCTGCTGTGGGTGAGCTCTGACAGGTGTTTGTGGCTCTTCCCTTTCCTGTTTTAGGCGAAGAAAGCCCTGAATTTCTGCTGGAATTGCCCTGGATTTTGCCAGGCCGATGGATTATCTGCTGCCAACGTCACATGTCACAGACCCTGCTTTGTCCTCACTCCAGGCTGGTGGTGTTAGGGTGGCCTGTGCTAGCAAATGGTTCCATGGGTGCTTCCTGTGATCCCAAAGAAGCTTCTTACGGATGTGTATATTTTCCATAGATTTAGGGGGGTTCTGCCAACGTGCCTCTGGAATTCCAGGCACCTTCTGCCTCACGTATGGAGCTGTATCTTTACAGCCCTGTGCCACAGGGCTTCTGCCTTGTGGATTTTTCCAGCTTTTCCATTCCACACTCCAGATCCATCTCTCCTGGTCACTCTCCCTCCCCTCAGGGCCTCTGTTCTGAGGAGGCCCAAAGGCTGCTATGGATTTAGTGCTGCACTTTAAGGGTGTTTTTAGGCCATTTCCTGTTTTATTGTAACCAGCAACAGCTTGGGAATATGAATTCCTCCTTGAAAGAATGACCCTTGAGTATTTAAGGTGTAAATCAGCCCCTTGAAACGTGCCAGTGTTCCCAGGAACAGAAATCCCGAGGTGAGCAGTGGGCACTTGGCATCAGCCCCCCGTTGTGTCGTGCCAGTGTTTGACATCTGGAGGGAAGGAAAGGGAGAGGGGCATTTCCTCACAGCTGTGCTGAGAAGTTTCTCTGTGTGTCTCTGCAAACGTGTTAAAATAAATCCTTTTACTCCAAATGCTCTTCCAAACCCCGTTGTGGTTGGTTGGGGCAGTGGCTGAGGGAGCCCCACAGCTCCTGCCTGTGTCCTGTCTGAAGGAATCCACTCTGGGGGTGACTCTGAGGTGGAAGTCGTGGAATCTGCTTGGATGTGGTTTGGGCAACTTTGTTTTCAGCTCTGCAAACTGCTTTTGGGGCAGTTTGGGGTCCGACTGGAGAGGTTGCCTTGCTATAAGGGAATTTTAGAATCCCAGAATCCCAGAGCGGTTTGGGTTGGAAGGGACCTTAAATCCCATCCCATCCCACCCCCTGCCATGGGCAGGGACACCTTCCACCAGCCCAGGTTGCTCCAAGCCCCGTCCAGCCTGGCCTGGACACTTCCAGGGATCCAGGGGCAGCCCCAGCTTCTCTGGGCACCCTGTGCCAGGGCCTGCCCACCCTCCCAGCCAGCAATTCCTTCCCAATCTCCCATCTCTCCCTGCCCCCTGGCAGTGGGAAGCCCTCAAGTGCAGAGGGAGAGAAAGTGAGGTGTTTTCCATCCTCTGGGTGTTCCCTGAGCTCCCCAGGCTGTGGATCGCAGGGAAGCAGCTCTGCCGAGTGCCACTAGATGGTGTGGGATAACCATCCCGCTGGATTGGATCCCTCTGCCTGCAGGAGAGGCTTTGGCCAAGGCCAGGGAATAACTCCTTTCCTTGGGATGCCCCCAACCTGGGCAGTGTTTTCCTGCTGCCCGTGGGGGGACGAGGGACAGGGATAACCAATGGAAATAATGAACTTAAACAAGGCTCTCATTTCTGGCATTTGAATTAACTAAAATAACAGGTCTATAAATGACAAGCAAACATTATCTCTGTGATTGGGATTCCATCATCCTGTCAGTGTAAGCCACACTGGGAGTGTTCCAGAGGAAACCTGGGAGACACAGGGAACCGATGCCCAGAACTTTGCATGGGAAAGACTCACCCACAAGATAGAGCAAGGTGAGTCGCTGAATCTGCCCTCAAAATGCTCGTTTTTATATCCCTGCTATGAGGCCAAAGCGTTTCTTTCCCAGCCCTTTCCCAGCCCCATGTTTTGGTTTGACACCTCCTGTTTCCCAGAGCTTGGCTCTGAAATTTCTGCTGGTGGAGGCGAAAGGATTGGAGCCCAAAGCAAACACCTCCTGCAGCCACTTTGTCCCTTCAGAAAGGTTAATCCAAAGTGCAAACAGACCTTGGAGAGGAGGATCCATCCTTGCCAGCCCTGGGAGGAGGTGGCAGCGTGGCCAGGACTGGGCTGGAGTCTGTCCCTTCTTCATGGAATCATGGAATGGGTTGGGTTGGGAGGTAAAGCTCATCCCATCCCACCCCCTGCCATGGGCAGGGACACCTTCCACCGGCCCAGGCTGCTCCAAGCCCCATCCAACCTGGCCTGGGACACTTCCAGGGATCCAGGGGCAGCCACAGCTTCTCTGGGCACCCTGTGCCAGGGCCTGCCCACCTTCCCAGGGAAGAGTGTGGGATGAGCTTGGCAGCCTGTCCTGGCTTCAGGTTTGGAATAAACAGGACTTGGATGAGGATTTGGGGTCACCTCGTGAAGAGTGTGTGCTTGGAGGAGGAGAACACACAGGGATTTTTGAGGCAGGAGGGGTCCCTTGGTGTGCCCATGGAATAACTCCGTGTTTCCAGCAGGCAGAACTTGCGGGGGGGATAGTCCTGGAGTTGTTCTTGCCCAATAACTGTGTTAGAGCAGGTTATGGAGCAGGAGCTCTAAACCCAGAGCCATCCCAGGCTCTGGCTGCCACAGCAGGAATGTTTGCTCCGTGCCTGGAAGGGGCAGCTCCCCCTCACCTCCCTGCTGGAATGCTGGATGTGCAGGCAGGGTCAGCAGTGGGAATTTCCATGGGCTGGGAGAGCTCTTCCATCCTCAGTGGCTGCCCACTGGAAGGGCAGAGGGGCAGTGGAGCCAGGGCAGGATCTCGCTGTTCTTCCTCCTCCTTTGGTTCCCTGGCAAGGCAGGAGCACAGAGCTGCCTCCACGTTTACCTTTTGAGGTAACAAATTCCTCCTCCCCACGGGGCTGGATCTGCAGTGGGATCCCCCTGCCAGCTCTGCTCCGTCAGACTTTCCTGCTGGCACCGGGTGACAGCTCTGGATTGTGTTCCCTGTGCTGCCTGGATGTTCTTGGCATCAACTGGCTGCAGCTCTGCTGAGCAATGGAAAGCAGGAGAAAAACCAGCAGGAATGGCCCTGGAATGACAGGCAGGGTGAGCTGGGGTAGAGCTGGAGCTCAACTGGGGCTGCTGTGGAAAAGGGGGGAGACAAGGCACGAAAGGCCACGACATCCCACCCTTCTCCCAGGTCTTCCATCTTCCCAGGATGGAAGCCCAGCAGCCTGATGGATTAGCTGAGCTCGTCCTGCCAAGTGCTGTGTGGATGAAAAGGGGCTGGGAGAGCTGCTGAGCCCGGGAGAGCTGCAGGGAGGCAGGAAAATGCTGATTCCCAGGAGCCTGTTCCCTCTGTGCTCCCTGGGGAGGGATCAAAGCGTGGCCCAGACCCCTGGCTGAGGGACAGGGAGGATTTTGGGCAGCAGAACATGGAGCTGTGGCCCAGCAGAACCGGGATGGGGGAGCCTGGATGGATCCAGGCACCTGGAGCTGCTACTGGGCTTTATCCCTAAAACCAGGGCAGTGACATGGGACCAGGGAGCTTTTCCAAGGAGCTGCTCCCTAATTCCCAGAAACAGTTTGTCTCTGTGTCTGCCTTGATTTATGTGCAGTTCAGACACTGTTAAAAATAATCCAGCCCTGCTAAAATTATATTGTCTGGTTGGGAGCGAGTGGGCTATAAAAAGAGGGGTAAAGGGGTGTTGGCGAACAAGAGTTGTGCTCTGCAGGAAAGGAGTTTGTCCTTTGCCCTTCCCAGGGACACTTCCAGAGGCAGGAATAGCCCTGGCACAGGTGGATCACCCAGGGAAAGGCAGGAGGCTGGTCCCCAGCTTCCCCCTGCCATGTCCTATCCATGAGAGTTCAACTCATCATTTGATCCATCATTTATTCATCATCATTTATTCTCCATTTAACTTGTGATTGAGACAAGAACTAATTACTGAGCTGGGCCTTTTGGGTGGTGATCCCTCCTCCTGCCCCTCTCCTGCAGCTCTGGATACTTGGATTTGCTCTGAAAATACCACGAGCTGCTGTTGTTGTTTTATTAGGAAAAAAACCCCTGGAGCCTGTAAAGCACAATTCCCCAGGACAGAGGCTAATCCTCTTATTTCTACACATTTCTGGATGATTAAATGGCCGGATTATTTAAGCAGTGATTTGTTGCTGGATTGCATCATCAAGGAGATCTGAGGCATAAATATTGGCTTTGGGCTCCAGCTCGGGGCTGTTGAAAGGGGGGGAAGGTGTTTTGGAGACAGAACCCAGAGCAGTTCCACGCAGTGAGTGTGTGGAGCAGGAGGTCACAGCAAAGGCCACAATCCTGTTGGCTTGTGGAGATTTAACCTTCCCAGAGAGCAGGAACTGAAGCTCTGCCCAGTAAACTGGGTTACTGGACCTGAGGGAAGGGTTGGAGCTGGGTCAGGGGGACTGGGATGGATGGATGGATGGATGGATAGCAGGGAAAGGCTCCTTATCCAGAGGGTGTTTGGGTCTGGAACAGCTCCCCAGGGTTTGGTCACAACACCAAGGAGAGGATGGACAACGCTCGGAGGGACAGGGGGGGATTTTGGGGTGTCCTCAGGGCCAGGAGCTGGACTTTGATCCTTATGGGTCCCTTCCAGCTCAGGACATTCCAGGATCATGAGATTATCCCCATCCACAGGGGCAGATGGTCCCTGGGCATGTTGTCACCAGATGAGCATCCTCCTCCCTCGGCCCTGTCCAGGTCCAAAGGCTGTGGAACATCCCCTGACTCAGCTGCTCCTTCCCCAGGTCCAGCAAGATCCACCCTAAACCTGCCAGGTGGAGGGTCTTGGTGTCAGCCCATCCAGGGGGAGCAGCTTGCAGCTCTCCCTTGGATCTGGCAGGGGCTGGGATTCAGGGAACGGATCCTGCAGGATGCCTGGACAGGTTTGGGGGGATCTGCTCTTTGGGGATTGGGCCTTTGCTGCTCTGCTTTGGTTGTGTCTTCCAGGTGGAATTCCCCAAATTATTCCCAGATGATCAGTAAGGAGAGATGGGTGCACTGAGGACTTTGGGAATGGTACTGGAGTGATAACAGAGGGGGTGGGAGGAAAATGTGTCACTGGAAAACTGTTTGGGTTCTGGAAAACTCCCTGGGTTTGGGTTGGGATGGAGGAAGGGGAGTGGGAGGGACTCTGGCTCTGAGTCTTTCTATCCCTTTCTGCTTCTTCCTGGGGTTTTCCTTCTGCAGCTGATATCCCAAAACCCAGTGGCTGGAATATTGGATGGGCAGGAAGGGAGGTGGCTGAAAATCAAGGACATGCCCCCTGCAAGGGTTTGGCTTCCCAGGCTTTGGGATGGGGATGCTCTTGGAATGACCCAAAGCCCCCAAAACTGCAATAAGAAGAATATTTTAAACCTAATCCCGAGATTAAAACAAGGGTGAGCAGGAAGGGTGGTTTGCTGTGGATACAGACCCGGAGCAGAGCTGGAAAATGCAATTTCTCAGCTGCTTGGAGAAATTCAGTTGGAAAATAAGACAAAGTAAATATTTACTGGAGCTTGGACAATCCAGGGCGTTATTGCAGTGGGAATTCTTTGCTCTGGAACATTCACACTTTCAGCTGTGGTGTTAATAAAGCCTCTGACAGGGGGGCTGGAGCTGCTCCCTGCTCCCCCTCCCTGCTCCCACCTCCTCCCCAAACACAAATCCTGCTTGTTAATGAACCCACCCTGCCATGCAAATGAGATTCCAAAGAATAAGTAATTAACTTTATCAAATTGACATTCCCCTCTTGAACCAAATGTCAACAGTGCCTTTCCAAACAAGGCAGAGCTGCTCTTTGCAGAGCTGGAGTGGGGGATCCAGTGGCTTGGAAAATGCAGGAGAACCCAAACAAGGACAAATTGTCCATTTTTGGGGGGCTGTGGTTTATTGTTTGTTGCTGTTCCAAGGGGAACAGCCAAAGGATTCTGGGCTGGGATAACTCCACCTGCCCCCCAGATCCCCACAAACCCCTGTGTGCTATTCCAGGCCAAGCTTTGAGATAATTCCAGCTTTAAAAGGTGCTTAAATATGAAAGCAGGTTTAGCTGAGGCTGTTTCCAGAGGCGGAAAACACAGGAGAAGGGGATTCCAGCCTGGATTTCCACCTTCCTCCCAAGCTCTGGGTTTGACACCTCTGGTTTTAGGAAAAGGAAAAAAAAAGAAATGATGGATTAGAGAACGTGGCTCTGAGTGGAGGCCAAGCCTCCCAAAAACATGGAAATTTGGAAAGCGGGAAGTTCCTTTAAAAGAAAAAAAATGGGAAAAAGCCAAGTGTTTAACGTCCTGCTTGGAAAGACAACCCCTTTCCCATGGCAGGGGGAGTGCTGGGTGGTTTCTTGCTGCCCAAGAGAGGAAGTTCCCCTGGAAAATACCCATTTCCTTGGCGTGGTGGCTGCCCCAGGGCTGGGCATCAGGGCAATCAGAAGTTCAAGTCTAACGGCTCAGGTGCAACAAAAATGGATCCTTTAAGTTTTTCTGGAGGTTTCGATTTCTCATCGAGTCCCACAGTGGGTTGGAAGGGCTCACAGAGATCATTTATTCCCCCCCTGCCATTCAAGAAGGTGCCAGTGGCACTGGTGGCAACAATCAACTGGATAAATGTCCATTTAAAGGATGATTTTGATTGGGAAAAACATGGGATGGGAGGAGGAGGGAGCTTTGGGGGGTGTGAAACCATTTGAAAACACACTTTTAATTCAACCCCCAATCCATCTTTTAATTAAGATGAGTTAAACCATCCCAAACCCTTAATGCCATCAGTGGAAATAATGCCTGGGTCTGTGAGTTCAAGCTTTCCTTGCACACTGGAGAAGGAATTCCAGGGGGGAATCCCAGCAACTCCTCCAGGCTGGATAAACCCAGGTGAGCAATTCCAGGGAGCTGCAGCTCTGTGGCCCTTTGTCAGGAGCCTCCTTGGCCCAATATTGACTTTAGAACACCTTCACTTTGTTCTGCTCCTTCCCAGGACGGCTCCTGAGTGCTGGGAAAACAAACCTCCCGTGTCCCGAGGGCTCCAGCACGTTTGGGATCAGCGGCTCCAAGAGGCTCCTCGGATGGATGTGGAGGTTTGTGGATCAAGTAGGAGGAATGTGGATCCAGCAGGAGGGATGTGGATCCAGCAGGAGGGATGTGGAGGTTTGTGGATCAAGTAGGAGGGATGTGGGGATCTGTGGATCCAGTAGGAGGGATGTGGGGGGTTTGTGGATCCAGCAGGAGGGATGTGTTGGCACTGCAGGGGGTTGGGGGATGTGGCTCCTCCTTCTCTCCCGGGAGGCTGGAGGTGACAAGGGAAGCAGGATCTTGTTCAGCAGGAAGAAGGGAACCCACCCAAAGTGATATTCCTGCTTTGCAGGGAATCCAAGCTTGGCAGGAATGGGATCAGTTGTTTGGGAGGCTGGAGGGGGAAGCAGGAAAAGCCAAGTGGCCGCTTGGCCCTTCCCCATCTCCAGGCATCGCTTTTCCCTCCTGCCCTTCCCACAGCCCCGACCCTTCTGGGAATCCCAGACTGGTTTGGGTTGGAAGGGAGCCTAAAGCTCATCCTATTCCATGGGCAGGGATACCTTCCACTAGCCCAGGTTGCTCCAAGCCCGGTCCAGCCTGGCCTTGGACACTTCCCAGGATGGGGAATTGTTTCCCAAAGTGTCATCTCTCCCACCCTGCTGCCAAGTGTAACCCATCCCATGGCATTCCTGGTTCTCCCAGCCTGGCTCCAGAGCAGGTAATTCCTTCAACAAGAAGGAATTATTCAGGAATATTGACTGTTTAGATGTTTTCCCACTTCCACCTTCCTGGGCAGGACAATTCCTGCTCTCACCTCCCCTGGAACAACACCAGGAGGTGCCTGGCCCTGCTCCCCCCCCCCTCCATTTCCTCTGCCCTGCAATCAAAAGCCATTTCTAGTAAATGTGTTTGCTTTGTGCTGAATTACTCACAGCGCTGCCAAGTACAACCACACCAGCTGCTAATTAGACTTTAGCTTTTATTACCAAAAAGTCTGCTCTGTTGATATGGAAAATGGGAATAAAAAGTCATTTAACCTATTGTGATGCGAAAATAAACGATGACTTGTTGGTTTAATTAAACAGTCTCTTTATCCAGGCTGGGAGTGTTTGAACACACACAGGATTAGGAGCCGCGTTCCCGGCTCGTCTCCCGTTGTTGTTGTCGGGATAATCCGGGATGTTCGAAGTGACAGGTACCTGCTAAACGGCCCAGTGATCCCACTGGGAATCTTTCAGCAGGAATGTCCCAGGGTTTGCTTCCCTCTCCTTCACCCACCGAGGAACAGCCACGTCCTGCCCCTGGAATTATCCCTGGATGGGGAATGGCATCTGTTCCCTGCAGCCAGGTATGTGTGTGCCAAGTTCTCTGCTTCCCAAAACCCTTCCTGCTGGGGGTGGGTTGGGTTGTACAGAAGAGAGAGCTGGGGGGGGTTCACCTGGAGAAGAGAAGGATCCAGGGAGACCTGAGAGCCCCTTGCAGGGCCTAAAGGGGCTCCAGGAGAGCTGGAGAGGGACTGGGGACAAGGCATGGAGGGACAGGACAAGGGGAGATGATTTTAAACTAAAAGAGGAAAGATTTAGATGGGATGTTGGGAGGGAATTCCTGGCTGGGAGGGTGGGCAGGCCCTGGCACAGGTTGCCCAGAGAAGCTGTGGCTGCCCCTGGATCCCTGGGAGTGTCCCAGGCCAGGTTGGACGAACTTGGAGCACCCTGGGCTGGTGGAAGGTGTCCCTGCCCATGGCAGGGGGTGGCACTGGATGCCTTTAAGGTCCCTTCCCACCCAAAGCACCCCGTGGTTCTCTGACCCCCTCTGCAGCAGCTCTGCCCCCCGGGCTCTGCCCCTGCCCGGCCCAGAAGGGTGAGAACCCCCCCAATTCTCGTGGCTGGGGTTGGGATGGACCCGACGCTTCCCCTTTAAATCCACGGAGCTGCCGGAGCTGCGCGTCCAGGAGAGGCTGAGCCTGTCCCGGCTGTTTACTCACCCCTTCACACTGTTTGTGCAGCCAGAAGTCTTGATCTTGTATTTATCTCCTCTTAAAACAGCTACAGTTTATAGTTTAAACACATTAATCATCGCCGAGCCTTTAAAGGGCTTTTAAGTGGAGACACTGGTTTTGTTTGACTTTTAATTCTGATTTCAAGTCTCCCTTCCGAGTCGGAGGCAAGTGCTTTAGAGGACGTGGAAGGAGCAGCAGCTCCTGTAAATTGTGAGCTGGGGAGTGGGGCCACATCCCAAAAAACCCCTGCAGGGAGCTCGCTGGGACACTCTGGGGTGGGGTCAGCACCTCAAAACCTAGCCCGGGTTCCTCCTGTCCAACCTGGCCTTGGACACTTCCAGGGATCCAGGGGCAGCCACAGCTTCTCAGGGCAACCTGTGCCAGGGCCTGCCCGCCCCCTTGGGGAAAAAAAACCTGTTATAGCTGAGGAAGATGTTGTTGGGAGGAGGGTTTGACAGGGGAGGGCTCGTGGGTGCCAAGACCTCGAGGTTAAAAGGCATTAAAACTTGGGAGTGCTGGGCTGGAATTGGCCAGGAAGGTTCCCCTGGAGGGTGACACATCCTTGTTTCCCCTGGGAGCTGGGTGGCTGCTCCCTGTGATGGTGATTTTAAGCAGTTTTGTGAATTATCCCCATTTTCTGACAGTGGTGATGTTGAGCTCCACCAAAGAGGTTCAGATGAGCTTCCCAGCAACTCCCAGGGAGGTTATTCCTGCTCCCCTGCAAAGTCCTGCCTGTAAATTGGGACAGGCACTCCGGGGTTCAGCTCTGGCTGTGCCAGTGATGCTGTTCCCACACCTCCTGCTTTTTAGGGAGTGCAGGATGAAGTGCCCACTGCCAGGTCCATGTGGACATTGTCCTAGTGCCCAGGCACCCAAAATTCCCTCATTTCCTTCATTAATTCCTATCAAATTAATCTGCATCTGGCTGGAGAGTTCTCAGAGCACCAAGATTCTTTTTATTTTTACATAAAACCATCAGAAGCAAGTTGAGGTTGGAGGTGAAGAAGTGTCAGACCTGCAGCTACAAACCCCCTCCAGGCTGGGCCAAACAAACTCACTTGTATTCCTTTAACTGCAGAGAGAGAAATCGATTTTGTACAAACCCACTTCTACTAGGACAAGGTGGGCACCAAAACCCAAGCCTTCATCCCGGAACCCTGGCCCCCGACGTGCCTTTCCGGCCCTGCAAGTGCAAGGAAAGCTTTTTCCATGAGATGTCAGTGTGGCACAGGAGTTGGAGCCGCGCTCGTTGCCGAGCGAGGAATGCAGGGCTGGCAAAGCACTGCGAACCATCCCCCGGACCTCCCCCCCGAATCCCAGCTCGCAGCATTCCTTCCCTCCCGGCCGGAGGGAGGATGGGATGTGCCGATCCCGTGCCACGGTTGGAATGGGGCTGAGGTGGCTCCGCGTGGCTCCTCCTGCCCCTGAGTGCTCCTCATTTCCATCCCCCTGACCCCTCCGGGCTTCCCTCACCTCCCCAAAATCCCGCTTGGAATTGCTCTTTCCTTCGTCCTGAGCATCAGAAACAATAAGCAGGGAAAAAATGGTGCTGTATGAATATCTGGGGTAATTTTTACACCCCAGAAGTCACCAAAATTGGGAGCAGGAAGAGCCCACCTCCCGTAGTGGTGCTTCTGGTCAGCCCCTGACTTTGGGGATGGGTGAGGGGTTAAGGCAGGACTCCATTAATTTGGGGAGAGGTGGATATTTGGGCGGTGTTTTCCCCGGATATCCCTGGTGGGACATTCTCCCTGCAGAGCCAAGGTGTGGGGAGGGCTGGAGGTGACTCCATGTACTTGGATCCAGGTGCTCCCTGGTGAGCCATTGGTGGGTCAGGGGAGGAATGGGAGTGCTTAGGGAGAAACCAGAGCGACAGAAAATGGGAAAACCGCTCAGGAACACGAAACAGACCATGGAACATGAGGAGCAATCCCACAGGACCATCCCTGGGAGTGTCCAAGGCCAGGCTGGACAGGGCTTGGAGCAGCCTGGGATAGTGGGAGATGTCCCTGCCCATGGCAGGAGCCCCCACAGCTCCCTCAGCTGCTCCTCCCAGGACTCACCCAACTGACCCCCTCCCCAAATCCATCCTCAGGGCAGAGCTGCCCCACAGCAGCTTTTCCAAGCAGCACCATCCTCCCTCTGACTGGGCTCCCCGTCTTTCCTGTTACATCTTCTTGTTTAATGGGTACTTGGCACATCCTCGGAACGAGCCTGTCTGGGACCCATTGGAGATAAACTCTCCCCCATTAACATCAGCTGGAAGTTTTTATGGGCCTGATGAAAAATCTACCTGGGACAAATCACGGCTTTATGTCTTCGGGAAGGAAGACCTGAGAGGCCTGGGAGAGAACTCATCAACCATTCAGATGAAGGGATAATTTGTCTCTCCTCCTCCTTAACTGGGGGCTCGGGGATCCTTCCTAGGTAAACACTTGGCACGGGGAGAAGGGCAAAGCCCCTTCCTTGGCAACCGAGAACGATCCACATCAACCACCCCGTTTAGTGAAAAATGTTGCGCTCTCCTAATCAGGCAGATTGGTGCAGATGGGGTCTCTGCCTCCCGGGGAACTCCCACTTTGTGCCCCCCCAGGGGTCTGGGGGCTCTGTCCCCACGTGCAACTTTGGGGGATTAATGAGCTTGCCCAGGGAAGCTGTGGCTGCTCCTGGATCCCTGGAAGTGTCCAAGGCCAGGCTGGAGCAGCCTGGGCTGGTGGAAGGTGTCCCTGTCCAGGTGCCACTGAAGGCCCCTCAGTGTCCCAGAGCCAACACAGAGCACGTCAAGGGCGTGAATTTTTTTAATATTCCAGCCAAGCAGCCCTTGGCCAGCATTCCATCTTTTTATTAAATTCTGATCCAAAGCCTCCATCCACAGTAGTATATATATATTTTTTTTTCTGTCTTTAAGATCTTAGTGCTTATAAATGTCATCACCCCTGGCTTTTATTCGGTTCCATGAACTCTGGCAGGCTCGGGAGGCGGAGGTTTCCCGTTCCAAGGAGCCGCCCGGGAGCTGCGGGGCCCGGGGAGCTGCTCCCGGATCCTCCCCGGTGCTGATGCCCCGTAAATAATCCTGATGGGAAGAGACGCTGTCGGCTCCCATCCATCAGCCCCCCCTTCCCCCGCGCTCACACCGTGGCAATTTGCTCTGTCATTCGGAGTTATGCGAAGGGAGGGCAGAGCAGGGACATCCTCAGCTGTTTAATCGCTCACCAGCGGCTGGTCCGGGGCCGGCAGAGCAGATCGGGATGCAGAGCCTGGAAATTCCTGCTGGATGGCACCGATGGCACAGCTCCAGCTCGCTGGTGTCAAACCTTTCCTCACCGGCTCCTCGTGTTCCACAGCCCCTGCCGCTTGTTTTCCCAGCCTTTTGCACCCTGGAATCCCGATTTTAACTCCCAAACCTCGGGCTTCTAATTTTTTCTCCTAAATCTTGGCCTCCTAATCTTTATTTCCTGAATCTTGGCCTCCTAATTTTTGTTTCTAAATCTGAGTTCCTAATTTTATTACTGCTAATTTTTATTCCTAAACCCTGGGCTCCTAATATTTGTTTCTATTTTTTTTGTTTTTCTCCTAAATCTTGGCCTCCTAATTTTTTATTTCCTAAATCTTGCCCTCCTAATTTTTTATTTCCTAAATCTTGCCCTCCTAATTTTTTATTTCCTAAATCTTGGGCTCCTATTTTTTTGTTCCTAAATCACGGGCTCCTAATTGTTGCTCCTAAACTCTGGACTCCTAATTTTTACTCCTGTGTTTTTTTTTTTTTTTTTTTTTTTTTTTTTTTTTTTTTTTTTTTTTTTTTTTTTTTTTTTTTTTTTTTTTTTTTTTTTTTTTTTTTTTTTTTTTTTTTTTTTTTTTTTTTTTTTTTTTTTTTTTTTTTTTTTTTTTTTTTTTTTTTTTTTTTTTTTTTTTTTTTTTTTTTTTTTTTTTTTTTTTTT